TAAACCCCTCGATAGCGGATAGAGAGGGTCCCCACCACTCGTCTCTTGCGACGGGGTTGACACCCCTCCCCCAATACTCTCCAGACCATTGGCTGTTCCCAGGACACACCATGGCCTGTTGGTCTCCCTTCCAGCCTCCAGTTCCCCTGGGGGGACCTCTTAACTCTTTAGAGACCAGTTCAAAAGTTGCCTCCTGGATAAACCTCACTCTCAGCTCAGGCTTCCCCAAGCCCAGATCTCGGGGCCCTGGCTCAGCACTTCAATCCCCACACCCTGAGACTTGAGTCTCAAACTCATCTCTCCTCGAGCCCGGGAGGCCCAGGTCACAGCATTTGGCCATGCACATGTCAAGCAGGTTCACTGGCCTGTGGATCACCCTGGCATAAGGGACAGGGCATAGATTTGGGGGTTGGTCAGGAGACCTGGAGTCAAAAGCCGAAGGCCATTCTTTATTACGCTGTGTGCCTTTGAGTCTCTCTGAAACTCAGTCTTGTCATCTGTAAAACGGGGATGGTAGAGTGCCCACATCACAGAGCTATTGAAAGAAATAACAGCTGCAATGTGCCTGTGTTTAATTAACAGCAGCTATGAGTGCTATATTGGGAAATCCCTGGTGGCTCAGAGGGTAAAGCATCTGCCTGCAGTGCGGGAGACCCAGGTTCAACCTGAGACCCAGGCTTGATCCCTGGGTCGGGAAGATCCCCTGGAGAAGGAAATGGCACCACACTCCAGTACTCTTGCCTGAAAAATCCCATGGACGGAGGAGCCTGGTGGGCTACAGGCCATGGGGCTGCAAAGAGTCGGACACGACTGAGCGACTTCACTTCGCTTCATGACTACTATCAGCAGCCATGGGAACAGTGTCAGAGGCAGGGCCCTGGGCCAGGCACATGCAGCACGGCACTCTGCCCAAACTGAGGGTCCATCAGTACTGCTGGATGGGAGGATAGGCCCTGATCTCAGGGCGCTGACCCAGGATGGTACACATGAGGCTCTCCTGTAGTTCAGAGGTTGGCGGCCTATGCCATCAGCCTCGGCACGCTGGCTTCCTGGGCCCTACTCTGCCCCACCCAGGGGGCTTGGGAAGTTCCCTGGAGAGCCCAGGACACAGCAGCAGCGACAAGTAAGACCTCAGAGGCCAAGCCAGGCTCTTTCTCTCTTCCTTCTGAGGAAGTGAACAGGGCCCAGTAAAGACAAAACAGAAACCATGTTCATCACGGAACGCTCCCTCCTTGCCCTAGCCCAGGAGGTTCTGAAGTACAGTTTACTGGGCTTTCCTTGTGGCTCAGCTGGCAAAGAATCCACCTGCGATGCAGGAGACCTGGGTTTGATCCCTGGGTTGGGAAGATCCCCTGGAGGAGGGAAAGGCTACCCACTCCAGTATTCTGGCCTGGAGAATTCCATGGATTGTATGCAGTCACAAAGAGTCGGAGAATTCCATGGATTGTATGCAGTCACAAAGAGTCGGACACAAGGACGTGATTGGGCGACTTTCACTTTCACTTTCAGTTACTGGAAAACCCTATCAAACTGAGATCTACTCAGCCCTTCGGCTCCCTCCACATGCCAGGCCCTATTAAATGTCAGAGATGTCCCCAGCTCTGTGACTCTATGACCCCAGCCTAATCAAGGGCTGGTGAGTCAGGCCTCACACCACCCCTCGGTGCTGTTGGATAAAACAGGACTAATAAAGATCGAGTTCTCAAGGTCAGTTTGGAAAGGGCTGGTCCATCTTCCAGGGCAATCTCAGTCCTATGAGCCTAGGTGACAGAAGGGCCCTGCAGGGGTTGGGGTCTGCAAAACAGACTCCTCCCAGCACTGGTCCTGACCAGCCCCTTCCCAGGCAGAAAAAGCTCAGAGGGACATAAATAAAACAGGCAGGATGGTATATCTCCCTTGTCCCTTGTCCCACTGATGTGGCAAATGTCCCTTTGGGGACTGGGAGCCCAGGGCAGTTTCTGGGACACAGCTGTAGACCTGGAGTCAGAAGACAGTTCCTGTTGAGTGAACCTGACCGCACCTCCCAAGTCTCAGCTTCCTTGTCTGTAAAATGGGGCCAACAATCTCTGTTGTTGAATGCAACAAGTGTGAGCTGTCAAATGTACAGAATTTTTGGTCACACCCACATTCCTTCCCCCAAACAAGTCCGAGTGTTGGAGATCTCGGTTTACTACAGCAGGTAAACTGAGAGCCTACAGCATGCCAGCCACGTGTTGGTCCCTGGGGATATTCACTCAGGCGGTCCGGGTCTGAGAAGGGAGGCTGACAGATAAAGGCACTGTGCCACGCTGCGATCAGCACTTTCAGGGAGGGATGAACAAAGCACTGTGGGCTCCCAGAGAAAGGAGCATCTGACCCAGGCTACAGTGGGGGAGGTCAGGAAAGTCACAGGGAGGAGGAGCCATCTGACCCAGGCCTCCGCATCTATCAGCCGGAAGCAAGGAAGATGGGCACTCCAGGCTTGAACAAAAGCCCAGAATCTGGTTTCAAACACAGGCCCAGCCCACAGGCATGCGTGCTGACCTTACCCCTAGGGACCTGCCCCCAAACATGGGTACCCAGCCTCCAGACCTCCCCAGGGCATGGTCCCTGCAGGCTCCTAACCCAAGGGGATACTCCTTCGTGGCCAGGTGAAGAAAGGAACCTGCCCTTGTGGCCACCTCAGCCCCCTCCCCTGAAAGAGCCCTCCAACTGGAGGATGCAGCTTTCCATTCTCTGAGCTCACCCTGGGCTCCACCTCCTGCTGGTCCTCATCCTGTCACTCAGGGCCCCTAACTGTCAGCTCCTCCGGGAAGCCACTTTTGGCCTTTTTCTTCCTTGGGTTTCCAGAGTTCTGTGTACATTTCTCTAGAATTCATGCTTGGCCTCTAACATTTATCCATTTCCAGATTCATCTCCTGAGCAGAATGACATGGGGTCTAGGTCTTCTACTGTTTTGAATCCTCACCAGTCAAATCCAGATCCTGCCCCTAATGCCCTCTACCCCAGCATTTTATTTACTGACAAAGAGTCAGACTTTGGGGCTCTGAGACAGAATGAGAAGCCATATCAACTATTCTCAAGCAGTTGATAAAATTAAAAGTCAGAATCACTGCTCTTTATCCTTCTTATGTAAACAGTAATAACAGTTAACACTGATTTACTGAGCATGCCTCCACTCACCGTTTTAAGCCCTAAACACAATTTCATTTAATTCTCACGATAACTGTACTAGGTAGGCACAGAACTATCTCCATTTGACAAACGAAACTGAAGCACTGCCTTCATCAATTTCATAAGATAGTACTAGGACCCAGGAAGTCCAGTTCAGGAGTCTGTATCCTCCATCATCACGCTATCCTGCAGGGACTCAGATGGGACAATATTTAGCCTTGGGCAGGGGTGGTGATCCAGAGGCGATGCTGCCTGAGCAGAGCACTAAAGGTCAAGTAGAAGGTAGGCAGTACCTAAGAGGAGAAGGGGCTTTCTAGGCAGAGGGGCTGGTGCATGCAAAGCCATGGAGACACAAAATGGCAAAGTGCCGGCAAGCACACCCTACAATGTCATGTTATTGGACCTCAGGGTACACACAGGGTAGGAAAGAGAGCCATGTAATCTGTGCTAAAGATTCAGCCTTTCCCACAGGCAATGGGAAGCCATCCAAGGGTTTTAAGCAAGGAAGTGATGTTATCAGACATCTTTTTCAAGGACTACAAGAGTTACAGTTGGGAGACTGGGTTGCAGGCAGCCGTGAACTGGAAGTTGCTGGGAAGTCACCGCAATCATCCTAGTGCGAAACATATCAACAAGGGTGCTGACAACAGAGTTAGAGGCATGGGACCAGGTTTGAAGCATGTTAAGGAAGTTAGCTGGACCAGGTCACCTCTTAGAGATGAGAACTCAGAAAGAAGAGGAAGTATAAGATGAGTCTCAGGTTTCTGGCTAGGATGGGGTAGTTGAGAACAAATGAATCTGCAGGGGAAAAGAGCAGTTCGACTTCAGAGAGCCTGAGTGGCAGCTGAAGCAGAGCTGTCCAACTGGTAGCTGGACAGCCAGGTCTGAGCCTCCAGGGAGGGGCTTGGCTGAAGCTGGAGATCTGGGTGCCTTTCTCGTACCCTAAAGTTGAAGCCAGGCTTCCCAGGTGGCTCAGTGGTAAAGAAGAATCCACCTGCCAATTCAGGAGCCGCAGGACACACAGGTTCGATCCCTGGAGGAGGAAATGGCAACCCATTCCAGTATTCTTGCTGGGATAACCCCATTAACAGAGCAGCCTGGAGGATACAGTCCAAGAGGTCACAGTTACACATGACTGAGCCACTGAACACACACGGACGCAAAGCTGAAACCATGAGAGTAGATGAGACCATCCAGATTCAGTGTACAGAGTAAGGGGCTGGGCAAGAGCAGATTGTGAAACGGTGCTTCCGCAGTCAGAGTAGTAGGAAGAAAATAAGGGGATGCTGACGCGGAGGAAGCCAAAAAGGGGGGAAGGGACACATATCCACTGTTTCAATTACGAGTTAGCGTCATTGGTGTTATGCACCGTTAAGAACTCAAGAAAGATATCAAAGCCCTCCTGATGTCCATTAAGAAGTCATTCACTGCCATTTCCAAAGGAAGTTGAGGGAGCCCGGATGACAGTGAGACGGAGACCTACAGGAACTTGTAGATATTTTCCTGCTCATTCTTAACCCTGACACCTCCCCATATCCAGTTCTTGCCCTTAATACCCAGACACCACCCCCTCACATTGAAAAGGAAAGCTATGGAGAGCGATCCGGGACGCCCTTCCTGGACTCTTTCGAGTGGGCGGAGCCGCGGACTGTCAGCGCCGGAGACCCCAGAATCCGGCGTGGGGTGGAGCTGCGCCGAGCTGAGGAAGGGGGCGGAACGTGGGGCGCAGGGGGTGTGGGAAGGGTCGGACGGAACCACGAACGGACACCCGCTAGGGAGACGGGATCCGCTGGCAAGACGTAGCCCTCGTACCACCACCTGGTCCCAGTGACCTCTAGCGGACCCACCTGCTCCATGTCAGCCACGACCCCGGCTCTTCCTACCCGCAACCGCAATCTGACTCCGCCGCCCCAGGAGCGCCTCCGAGCGGAAAGGGAGCTCCCGTCGCCACTTCCGCCACTGAGTCCGCCCCCGAGAGCGATCCGGGACGTGCGTAGGCCTGCAGCCCCGCCCCTTCTCCTCAGCCTCGCCCCCAAGCCTTCGGGCCCCACCCCCCAAGTCCGGAAGTGGGGAGTGCAGCCAAAGTTAGGCTTGAAAAGAGCTTCCTAACGGAAGGGGGAGTTGGAAAGAAGCCCAGAGACATCATCCTTGTTGGGCCACGAAAGCCTGGCACTGTGGAGAAAAAGGATCTTCCCGAGGGGAGGCGTGGGGGGTGGGGACGGGTCCTTTGTAGGATTTCAATTACTCTTGAAGGACTCCTCTCCCCCACCCCTTTCAGCCATCCTTAGCGGGATCTAGAACTGCTAAGGTCTTTCCCAAGAAGGTTTGGAGCTTGTCTGCAGTCAAGGCTCCAAGCTAGAGGACTGGACACTAGGGTCGAGGACCTGACTCTTGGATGACTACCACAAAGGGAAACCTGTGACCTCCTCCCTCTCCTTTCCCCTGAAAGAGAAGTCTCAGCACAGTTATTTACAAAGATTTATTACAGGTTCAACCAGGAGTCAGGGAAGAGGGGAAGGGGACAGAGCAGCTGGAGGACAAGGAGAGCCTGGCTCCCCCACCGTGTGCCCCCATAAGGACTTATTCTAGGCGGCATTCCTGGCATCAAAGCACACAGAAAATGCAACAAAGCAGTCTCTGCCAGTCTGTCTTCCAGGCACCCAAGCTGGGGAGCAGGTGATAAGGGGGAAGATTTACCAAAAGTTGAGGCCATGGAAAAGATGCCTGAATTCTGGGCCCTGGTAGAAGGCAGTGAAGGGGTGATGACTTGGAATTGCTCAAGGGATGGAGAAAGATCTGTGGGCACTTACAAATTCTTAGTATCCTTTTCCCCCAGATCTTAGGGTCTTGCCCTGTGGGTTTCCTGTGCCCAGGGGAGAGGGTCTAGGGAGTAGAATTGTGAAGGATGAATCTTTGTCCCCCATTTACTGGATTTCCCAATGCAAGCTCTCCCATCCCACCTCCCGCTGGGTGTATGGGGGAATGACTGGCAGGGGTAGGCATAAGGCAGCAAGTGCCCAGGGACTCTGGGCATCAGCCAAAGGTAGGCAGACAAGCAAACACAGACCAGCCTTAGTCTTCTAAGGTCAGAAGCCGCAGCCCTAGCAAGTGAGGGGCAGGGTACAAAATAGGGTGTGAACAGAGTGGGTTTCTGGAGAACATCAATGTCTCCCCCCACTTCCTTCCAGGAGATGCAGGGCTGGGTGCCTATGTGCCAGGCTCAGGGTGGGCAGGGCGCTGTGGCTCCTCCCCGGGTTCTGCAAAGCAAGCAGAGAGACTTAGGGCCTGGCCATGCCCACTAAGATCCCAGCCCTGCCTCCTCAGCCCCCCACTCCCAAGTCTCACCATTCACTGCTGGGTCTTCCACTTGGTCCTCAGAGCTTCCATCTCTCTGGGGCCCATCCAGAGGAGGCGGGCGCTCCCAGGGACCCTCCAGACCTTGGCCATAAGTTGTCTTCTGCCCAGCTGGGGACAGGAAAGAAGGGATAAAAACACGAGCTCTGAGTATCCATCTAGCTGCCCTAGAACATGAGCCAAGTCCAGCCGCTGGCTGAGACTAAGCTTTCTGAGGGTGTCATGGTGTAGTGGAGTGAGCACTGGACTAAGTACCTCCCGTGACTAACCACATGTCTTAGATAAGTCATTATTACCTCTCTGAAGGGGCTGGTAGGAGGGAAGTTCTGTAGACTGCCTTAAATAATAGTTAACACCCAGTGCCTAGCACCTAGGAGCCACTCCAGGCTTGGTGGCAACTGATATTTGTTCCTTGGTCATCTTGCCATTTGACCCGCTGCCCTGCCACTTTCCTGAGAGAACAGTCTCCTCTCACCTCCTCTTCACCTGTTCTGGAGGTGTCAGTGGGAGTCAACTCTTCCAGCTGAAGCTTTTGCTCCCACATCTGATGCCCCCAGCACCGATGCAGAGCAGAGGCCTATGCCATTTTGAGGCGGGGTGCAAAGAGTGGACACTGCAAGCAGTGATGGTTGGTTATTTCTCATCCCCATAAATAATGGGACCAAACATTGAATATGCATTCAGAGGGTTAGAAGTGGTCAGGCATGGAAAAAATAGCCCTGGGAGGGGCTGAGATCTTCCTGCCTAGGAATTCTTTGGGTCTTGGGACCCGGCTCTGTAGATCTTGGGATCTGGGGTCTGTAGCTCTGAGGCCTTCTGTGTAGGTCTTAGGCCCCTCACTGGCCTCTGTCTTCCCAGGCAGTTGGGGTTGGAGGTGCAGACAACCGGGTTGGTTCTTGAATCCTAGATTCTCCATCCAGACACTAGAGGGCACCCTCTCACCTCCCGCCTGCTGCTGCTGCAGCTGCCGCTAAGTGGCTTCAGTCGTGTCTGACTCTGTGCGACCCCAGAGACGGCAGCCCACCAGGCTCCCCCGTCCCTGGGATTCTCCAGGCAAGAGCACTGGAGTGGGTTGCCATTTCCTTCTCCAGTGCATGAAAGGGAAAAGTGAAAGTGAAGCCGCTCAGTCGTGTCCGACTCTTCGCGACCGTCCGTGAGATTTTCCAGGCAAGAGTCCTGGAATGGGGTGCTCACCTCCAGCCTAGGAAATTAGAAAAGCAGGAGAGAACCACAGGTTCCCTGAGAGACCTTATCAACCAGTCCTGTGTCTCCCAGCAGAGACCACATCCTGTATCCAGAAATGCAGGCGATGGGGGCCCTGGACACTCTTAGTCCTCTATCCCTCATCTCTTTACACCTCCCAGTGGCCATGGATGGGAAGTCCTTTCTTGGGTCTCGCCTCAAACCTCATGTAGCCTTGCCTTAATTCTTAGGGAAGAGAGGAATTACTAGGGAAAACCTGATAGGGAGAAGGACGGAATCAAGGATGGGAACAGCCCAGGTGTCAGGTAAAGCTGAGTGCGAGGCATCCTGTAGGGTGAGAGAGTAAGAAGGCCCTTTACATGTGGGAGAAACTGTAAACGGGGAGGGGGTGTCCCAGGACACTCAAGGAGGACCCCACCCAAGCCCATGGTTGGTGAAACTCAGGCTTCACAGCCCCTTCCGCTTACCAGACCCCCTGCTGCCCTTCAGGACTTCCGCCTGGCTGTCCTCCTCCTCTTCATCATCCTCCTCTTCTTCCTCCTCTTCCTCTCTCGGGTAGCCCAGTTCCCGCAGCTCCCCCAGCTCATCCTCCTCCTCCGAGGCCTGGTTCTCACCCAGGTTGCTGATGGATTGCAGGTGAGACTCAGCAATGCGCTGCACGGCTGGCACAGGGGGGCCAGGAAGGCACGGGTCAGCCAGGCCCGAGAAGCAGCCCACGGAGCAGGAGAGGCACGTGGCCCAACCCCAGCCTCCTTCCTGGGGGCCTGGGGCAGAGCTAACCCCCGCAGGGGTCTAGTTCAAACACTACAGGCTGCTGCTCAGCCTGCTGGGGGCCAGACCAGGGCAGAAGCAGCAGGGGGTAGACTCTTGATCATGTTTGGCTCTTAAGCTGTCCAAAGATGCTGGGCCCCAGAGGCCAGCCCCAGGCATCTCCCCACACCGTAGGGTGCCAAGCTGGACAAGACCAGGCGGGCACAGCAACAGCTTAACATTCCTGGCTGGGGAGCTTGTCTACCAGCTACAGCCCCTGGAGAAGGCACGGGACTGGTGGGCCGGGCCCTGAGGCATTTGTCCCTTTCAGTTTCTAGGGGAGTGCGCAGCCTGCTCACCGCTCACCCGGATCCTGCCTGCTGCCCCATACTGGGCTTGGTCCCCACTCCCTGGCAGCGCTCCATCATAGATGCTACGCCACACACCCCTGCCCCAGGCTCTAAGAGGCAGGAAGAGTTCTGAGACTGAGGACACAATAGTCTGCAGCCAGTGACGTCCTTGCCTGGGGATGCAGCCTGCTCAGACACGGCCCCCACAATCTTGACCCACATCCCCAAGCTTCAGCTCCCTCTGCAGTGACCTAGAAAGCAGCAAACACCACCCACCCCCCCAACACCACCAAGGCCTGCTGGGATAGGACCTAGGAAGGGAACAGTGTGGGCAGCTGGAGAGAAGTTTCCAAAAGATGGAAAGGACGAGGGGGTTCAGAGATAAAGGCCAGGGCTGGAGGACTCTGGGAGAAAAGCAGGGGTGAAGGGGACCCTGGGAAGTGTGGCCGGGGCAGAGGCAGCAGGGGACCAGGAGCTGGTGGGATTTAGAGCATTCGGGTCACTGAACTAGAGGCCCAGAGACCAGATGCTGATGGACTAGGGGCTGGGGTTGCTGCAGCTACTTCCTAATCTGCAGGCAGCCCCTCCCCTCAGAAAGCCCGAGGGGGCAGATCCAGGCTGGAAACCTGTACAGGGAGCAGGGCCCGGCGCTCCTGCCAATGCAGGAACAGGCACAGAGGGTGTATTGTGCTTGCCCGCTGCCCCGTCTGGCCCCGAGCTCCACCCAGTGCCTCCTGCTAACTCTGGGCAAACTACCCAGGCAATAAAAGCGCAATAAATCGCCCTTCCCTGTCCTTGGGGACTCAGCAAAGCTTCACCTTGAGCCAAGTGCAAGAGCTCGGCCTTGGAGAGCCCCCTTCAAGCCAAGACTCGGTGTCCGCCCTTCCTCGCGGACTCTAGGCTTCTCCCCCGACAAATCCCCCAACACTGCCAAGGGGCTTTACTTTGCCCAGAAAGGACGAAACCCACAACACACAGTGCCCTGGAAGTTCAGAAGGGTCCTCTGAGGGTTGGGGAAAGGAGGAAGGAGAGGAGGTGGCAGCTCGAGCAGCCGGGGGAGGAGAGTTCAGTGCTTCAGTTCGTGAGCCACAGCGATGACAATAGGTGTGTGCAGCGCCCCGTGAGAGCCTCCCGCATGCCTCGCCTGCCTCGTGCCTCTCGGGGCTCTCCGGGGTCTTACCCCCTCTGCCTCCCGATTGCCTCCTTCTCTCTCTCTCTCCAGCTCTGGGACCCTGAACTCCCCCCCCAACTCAAGGCTCCCTTTTGGAAGCTCCAAGGTCCCCAGCACAGCCCCTTTCCTGGCCCCCTCCCAGGTTGCAGCCCAAAGGGGCCGTGGGGGTGGGGGCACATTCTGGCCAAGGCAGGCTGCCTGGGCAGCACCCTGGTCTGTTCTCTTCACCCCCGCCCGCTGCCCCTTGCTCACAATCAGGAGTCGAAGGGTGGTTCTTCCCTCTCACATCCACTTGCCCCCTACTCAGCCCAGGGTGCGGAGGAGAGAGACTTCTCATGTTCTCTCCTGAGAAGACGGCACCTCCTCCCTCATGCCTGCTTCAGGGGCTGGCCTTCCCCACATCCCCACAGGTCGGAAGGCCTTCTGAAAACTACACCCAGTGCCCACTTGCTGTCTCCACATCTTCTCTCCTCTCCTAATTCTCTCTGCTCCCATCTGAGGCAGGCAGGCTGATAGCTGCACCTGTTGACCTTGGCCGGTGGTTGGGAGCTCACTAAACCCACCCAATCAAGCTCTCAGCACACCCTTCTGCACACCCTTCCGGCCTCCCTCTCTCCCTCCATGGGAGGAGGGGGCTGGCCAGGCCAGAAGAGCTGGAGCTGATCTGGGGGTGGGAAGGCATCCTAAGGCTTAGTGAGGAAAGGACCCTCCCCACACCCCCACCTGGCCCACCAACTTGTCTCTCCCTCAGCTCCCCGGCTGGAAGCCAAGTCTCCAGGCAGCCCTGAAGACCCCCTGTGATTTCACACCTGCTCCTCCGTGCACACCTTCCTCCCTCTTCCTGGAATACCCCTCCGTGCCTGGCTCGCCTGTTGAATTCCTACCCATCCTTCAAGTCCCCTCTCCTCTGTAGCTCTCCTGGATGCTTTGAGGTGAAGGGCCCCAGGAGGGCCTTATTCCACCCTCACCAGGGGGGCCTGGCATACACTAGGCGCTCCATAAGAGAGTGCTATAGGAGTGACCTGCCTTTGGGGATTGAAAGGAAAAGCAGGAACAGAAGAAGCATCGGTGTGCAGACCTGTGCGAAAGGCCAGGGAACGGGAGGGGAGAGCAAGGGGTGCGACCCTAAGAAGGTGCCCTGGGGGGCGAGGGTGGGGGAGGTGTTTCAGCGCATGCTTGCAGAGGCGGCAGAGAGCTGAGTCCCTTTATGTCGATGCCTACTTGTTATGTACCTCTTTTCTTTCAACCCCGAAGCCTGATTTTCAGACACACACCACCCTTTTCAGCCTCAGGGCGCCTTGTTTTTCCAAGGCCACATTAAGAAGGAATTGATCTCTAAGTAGGGGTTGGGGTGGGTGCACAAGACAATCCCTCCCCATCAACAAAAGCTCAATGCTCCCGCCCACCCCGTCCTGCACACCCAGTGTCAGCCCAGTTCCAGGGGTCAAGGGGACAGGCAGACCGTGGGTTGGGGGAGTACCTTTCAGCGAGGGGGGTGTGTAGGCACAGGGATTGGGTCTCTTCGACTTGAGGTGGTGCCCCTCTCCTGAGGCTCTCTGCTGGGGAAGTGCCAGGTTAAATGGGCTCACAGAGACCCTTGGTCCTGTAACCCTCCCTCCATTCCATTTCCCCACCCCCCCACCCCCGCCAGCTGCCCAGGGCAACTGCATTGACTGGTCCAGCCTCGGCTCTAGGTCCGGGCAGGCGCTGCTCCCACACCCCACACCCAGGCTGAGGCCACCTGGTGGTTTTGGGAGGGGCACTGTAGCCACGACCTGGCTCAGGATGGGACCCTGGATTCTGGAGGCCCAGCCTGAGTCTGAGCAGAGCAAAGACAAGGGTAGAGGAGGATCTGCATCCTGGCACCAGGCATTCTCACCAAGGTGCCAATTGATATGTTAATATCCTCCTGGGTGGCACCCTGAGCTAGCTGGGAAGTAATCCTGTCCACCCCATCACAAAGGGCCTGGCCTCCCTCCTTCCAGCTGCCCCTGGAAACTCACCTGGTGGGGTGAGGCCTCCTCTTCTGGGGAGCCAGGAAAAAGAAGAGAGAAAGAATCCGAATTATTGGTACTTTCCCCCAAAGTTCAGTCAGTCTCTGGGCCCTTTCCTTCCCGGGGTTGGGAGGTGCCTGGTCAATAAATGAGCCCAGTGGAGTTGGGCTCCTGGACCTTAACCCCCCATCCTCCATTCAGTCTCCTACTCAAGGGACTTTGGCAGGGGCCCCCAGAAAGCATCGAAGTTAGGGTGGGGCCAGGACCAGGGGGCAGGGAAGGGGCCCACCTGGTGAGGAGTGCTCTGAGAGCCGGAACAGCATGGCAGGGGTTGGTCTCCTGCGCCGGATCTAAGGAGACAGAGACGGGGAGAAGGGAGGGCAGGACTCTTGCAGCCCACTCCCCACCCCCCACCCAGGCAGCAGGGAACAAACTGTGCTTTGGAGTCCCCAGGGAACCTTTGAATCAAAGACTGTCTGAGCTGAAAGGGACTCCAGAGCTCACTGAACCCCCTCACTTACCGAGGTGAAAACCCAAGGCTCAGAGAGTTTTAGCAAAGAGGTCAAAGCCACACAGCACGGCAAGGCAGAGAAGGGCAAGAAAAGCCCACCTCTGGCTGCCAGCCAATGGCCACCTCCCTCCGTGGTTACTCCAGAACTGCCACCTCCCTCGTTTCTTCCCCTGCCACGGCCCTCCCTCTCCCCTTGATAAAGACATCAGACCTCAGGACCCCACGCTGGCTGTGGAAGATGGCACTCACGTGGCCCTGCCCACCTAGGGCCAGCTCAGGGCTCCAAAGAAACCAGCCCCAGCTGCAGAGGGAGGCTGAGCCTCAACAGCAGGCACCTCCAACCTCACCCTGAGGCTCAGGCATGTGCCTGAGCCTCCGACTCCCTGGGCCTGGGTCTGGGCCCCTCTACAGTATCACTCAGGCTGTGGAACTCTTCACCCAGTGCTCATAAAACCTCCAAAGTAGCCTTCTTTGATACATAAGCCAAGTTGAAGGGCGGGGGGGGCCACTCAGTACTCCCAGTAACTCCCCCACCCTTCCCCCTAGCTTGGCAGTCAGATCCACTGTCAGTTAATTAGGTCCTCTTTGAGCTCCAGGGACATGCACAAAGAGAACCAGGTGAATTAAGCTGAAACTGCCACCTCCCCCTGACAATCTCCCAACACTGCCCTCCAGATCAAAAGCTGCTTGGGCCAGGGCCCAAACCGGTCTCCCCGCCGCCCCACCAACGCAGCAAAACGACTTGGCCCCCCTCTCTCTGCTCTGTCGGGTGCCAGCTGCTTCTCAACAACAGCAACAAGTGAATGGCTAAGTGGAGGGGGGGTGCCCGCACAAAACTCATGTCTCTTTCGCCATCAGGCCCCACATCTCATCCCCACCTTTGGAGGCCTCTGGTACCCAGTCCCCAGGAATGCTGTGCAGAGGACTCAGATGTCTGTCTTAGGACTTCCGCCTTCTGGGATGACTGGTCATCATTTCTCTCTCCACCCGCCCCCGCCTCGCCCATGTTGTGGCTTTATTAGAGGTCAGGACAAGGCTCGGGTGACCCCAGCCCAGGTATGCAGGGTGGGACTAGAGAGATGGCCAGAACGTGGGGCAGGCAGGCGCAAGCCCGCTTTGTATAACGGGTCAGTGGCCCATGTTTGTCATACCAGTGGTCCCCGAGGGACCCCAGGGAAGGAGGACACTGTGCAGGGTCCAGAGGACAGTCCTCCCTCTCTGGGGCCGCCGGGGAGTCTCCCGCCCCAGGATCAGGTGCGAGGTCCCGGGAAAGGGAAAAAGTTACAGGAGTCTCCGGTGAACTTCACGCGCTGCCCCGCGCCCCCGCTGCGTCCGAGGCGGGCCGGGCGCCCGCGTCCCCCAGGCCAGTTCGGATCCCCGAGCGCAGAGGAGTCGGGGAGTGGGGGTAGGGTAGGGGGGCGCTGCCAGGGGTGGGGCGCAGCCCCCTTACCATCTCCACCTGGCGGGGGTCGAGCTGGCTGGGGGGCGCGGGCACGGAGAACTGGATCTTCTTGCGGTCCTTGGGGTCCATGGCGGGCGGGGCGCGCGTCGTGGGGTCTCGGGCTGCGATCCCGGCTCCGCTCCCCCGCGCTGCTTCGGGCGCCGCGGTGGCAGCGGGCTGAGTGCGGCAGAGAGGAGCTGGAGGGCTGTTCACGCACAGATAAAAATACCGCGCCGGCGAGGGGAGGGCGCGCGGGGGTGGGGGGCGGCCGCCGGCTCGCGGCTCTGGGGCCCCTGGGTGCCTCGGTCCCCCGGCGCCCGCACCTCGGGCTCGCGGGTCTGGTCTCTGTCCCTCCTTCCCTCGTTCTCTGTCTTTCCAACCTTCCTCGATCTCCCTCGCTCTATCTCCGCGAGTCTCCCTCTGTCTCTGCTTCGCTCCTTCTCTCCGGGTCTCGCCCTCCGGCCCCAGCCTTGGGGTCCCCAGCCCGTCCCCCTCGGCCTGGGACTGGCGCCTCGGCGCTTGGTGGGAGGGCTCAGGAGACCGCGGCCAATGGGCGCCGAGGAGCCTGTTCTCCCGGGCCGGGAGGAGGGCGGGGAGAGTGAGCCGGGACCGCGGGAGCGGCCTGGGGGCCCCCTGCCGACTCCCCAGAACTTGAAGCTGCATTATTGATGGAGTCCAGCAGGGAGGATAATGGGGGGAGGCCGAGGGGAGAGGGGCCGCGGGGCCCTGGGACTCTGACTTTAACCCCTTCCTGGTCTGGGTGCTTGGAGTTTCGCGGGGAGGCTGTGAGGTCGTGGAGAGAATAGCACCAGCGTGTCACGCTGTGAATGGGGGTGTCCTAGAAAGCGAGTGAGCGTGAAGGAGCGGGGTGTGCGTGGGAGGACACATGTCAGTCATCATGGCAGGGAGTGTGTGAAAGTGAGTGCCAGGGGCCCTGCGGGCGCCTGAAGCTGGGGAGTGTGTGTGTGTGGGGGGGTTGGGGGGGTCCGAGTGGTGAGAGAGTCTAGGTGAGTAAGTGTGTGAGAGTGTCAGGGATGCAGGTGTGAGTGGCAGGGTGTGGGAAGGCCGTGTGTGCACGGGGGAGGATGTCAGAGGCTGTCACGGTGATGGGCAGGCTGTGCCAGCTCGCAGCGGGGTGGGAGCGCCGTATGCACAGGTCCAGCAGGAAGAGTAGAGGGGGGTAAGGTGTGATCCTGGGAGGGCTCTTGTGGGGGCGGGGGGAATGTGTCCATGCTGTGAGGTACCCCAGATTCACGTGTCTCCTGCCTGTTCTCCCCAGATACGATGTGGGGGAGACAGAGCCAGCTCAGGGGGATAGGGTTGGGGGAGTTGGGGTGTACATGTGCCATCACGTGTGAGTTTGGTGCAGGAATAGAGCAAGGGGAGAGGTGTGTGTGTGCTCATTTGGAGGTGTGAGCCTCTCTTTCTCTGCAGAGGTGTTTGCATGTGTCTCTGAAGGGGGGAAAGGGGAGGAGATGGCCCTGTGGTTTGGAGTGGCCCTGTTTATTTATCATCTGGTGCTGGGTGCCTTGGCAGGAACTGGTGTTTCCCTCCTCGGGCCCAGGGGTGAGGGTCTGAGTGCCGCTCTGAGCGGGTGTGTGTGTGTAGACTTGTACGTGTGTGTGTCTTCCTGGGGCTGTGTGTGCCTTGGCTCTCTTCTCTCCTGGTCACGCTCAGGCCTGGAACAGTCAGAAGCCCCCCCCTCCCCCAGCCAGCAACTTTTCCACTCCCAGGCCAAGCACGCTGGGCCCTTGGCAGAGTGAGAAGGAAGCAAAAGGCCAGCGGAGTCTTGTGAAAATGGGGTCAGGGGCACGGCGCAGCACCCCAGAGTCAGCGCCTACTCTGGGGATGAGGAGAGGGAATGGGAGCAGAGCTTTGCCCATGGGCGCTGGAAGGCCTGGCCGCTGGGCGGCACCGCTCCCCCACCCTCAGGCCTGGCTCAAGTCCCGCTGTGTTTGTTGACTTTTATGCTTGTGGGGAAAGAGCCAGATGCTAGGTCCCTGGCCCTGGGGTGTGGGCCTCTGGCAGTCCCTGGCTTGGCCCAGACCCCTCTGTCAGATGGGTTGTGGTGGGAGGTGGTAAACACCAATTTGGCAGTGCCCTGGAAGGAAAATGAGGAGGTCACAAGGGTCAGAAGGGGCACAGGAAAGGCACGGCCCAGGCAGTAACCTGTGTGGCCACTGGGCCAAGAGGAGGCTGAGAGATCTGTGGCTTCCAGTGCTAGGGGGGTAAGAAGGTCCTGGGTGGGGTGAAGGGGACAGAAGACCGCTGGACAGATAATGAGAGGACAAGGACAGGGAGACATTGCTCCCAGGGGAACCTCAGGGCCCATTGGAGCTGAGAAGGCCCTTGGGACCACAGTTGATGAGGCTCCTTTGGCCAGGGAGGGCCTGTTCACAGAGGTTCTGCCGAAAGGGTTGGAGTTCTGGGTGGCCCTGAATCAGGAAAAGCTCCCTAGACCCAGGCTGGGGCAGCTGGAAGGGAGACTCTCCTCTCCTGGGTAACCCCGAAAGACGGGGTCTTCAGGCCTAGAGAGGAGGATCTTTTCCCTTTCTTCCAATCTTTACCCAGGCACCTGCAGCTCTGGCTGCTAAACCCTGGGGTCAAGCAGGATGGGGGAACTTGGCTCACAGGGGTACAGGCACGAGGGACAGACAGGAAGGAGAAGGAAGGAAGGATGGCAGAGACAAGAGGTGAAAGAGAAAGGAGGGGGAGGTAGGAAACATGGAAAAGAAAGAGCGAGAAAACACATGGGAGAGATGGAGACAGAGAGAGAGGAAGCCTCACGACAGAGAGAGGCAGGAGACAGAGATGGAGAGAGAATAAAAATAGCTCCACATTAAGATAATTGCAGCTCACAGCTCTGCCCTCCGTTAGGAATTAAATGAGGTTTTATTACTTTGATTTTTCTCTCCTGGATCCTACGCGACTTCTCAAGAACTTGGGGAAAAGTTTTTCAGGTGGGCGGCCAGGTGGCGGGGGCTGCGTGGGTGACAGAGGAGGGAGGGACAGGCACTTCTGGGGGCTGGGGGAAGTGTGGGCAGGGGCAAGGAGTGGGGAGGGCCTGGCGAGGATGGGGGAGTCCGGCTGGGGCTGGGAGAGGTGGCCAGGGTCAGGAATATCCCAGAGTAGCTGAGAAGCAAGGGGCCAGGGTGACCTCCCTTCTCTCTTAGAATTAATCATATGCAAATGAGATGTAAAATAATGTGCCACTCCTTGGTTATTATTCTTGAGTTAGAAGCACAGGCAGTTGGGTCCTAGGAACAAATTCAAGACCTTGTTTGACTTAACTCTGATTGAGCAATGGGTCTTTCTGCTTGGACTAACCAAAAAAGTTTGTCATAGGGTGTCTGTTAACGTACAGAGCAGGTCTGATCACACTATTTTGAGCACACCAGTTCTCTCACATCATTGCCTGTTGCCTGCCACAGCGCCCAGCATACAGGAGGCTCTACATTCACCTTCTCTGGAAGCGTGAAGCCTTTGCTCTCTTTTGGGGAGGCAGGGAGAGTGGACAATCTGAATATTCCCTCCCTTCTCCCAAGCAAGATACAGTCTCGTGGACAGAACATAAACTGCGGAGTTGGACAGACCTGGGGACTGTGTGATTTTAGACAATAAATGTTTTAGCCTCACTATGCCTGTTTCCTCCTGCCCCCAAACCCACCTCAATGGTACCTGTGACGATTCAAAAAGATAAAATTAATAAAGTCCCCAGCCCAAGGCAAGGCTCCTGGTCAGTATTCAGTAAAGATTCCAGCTTCTCTAGAGGGTTTCTCTGCTGGCTCAGATGGTACAGAATCTGCCTGCAATGCAGGAGACCCGGGTTCGATCCCTGGGTCGGGAAGATCTCCTGGAGAAGGGAATGCCTACCCACTCCAGTATTCTTGCCTGGAGAATCCCCATGGACAGAGGAGCCTGGCCGGGTCCGTGGGGTCCGTGGGGTCGCAAAGAGACGGACAAGACAGAGCAACTAACACTTTCCCAAGAGCGCTAGGGATGCAGTTCCTAAAGTGGCCAGCAGGTGGCAGAGCTGACCAGGGTTTGGGCTGCCGAGCTGCTGGCATTGCGGGTCCGTGGCTGGGCGTCACACTCCTGACCTTGACACCGTGGAGCTGAGTTTAGCTGGCTGGGTTGACACGTGGCATCTGGAAAGGAGGTCCCCAGAAGTCCTGGGAAGCAATCTTAGAGAAGCCAGGGAGCGTTAGCAGGGCACACTGGGGCATCTTTCCCTGCCACTGCTGGTGGTAAGGAGGGGGGAAATGGGGAGGGGGAAGAGGATGTTGGGGTCTCCAAGACCCGCCTCTGAGAAAACCCCTGGACACCGAGAGGAGAGAGCAAGGGCACTCGCGGTAGGGACACTGGTGACACCAGGACAGGAGGCAATCATCTGAGCATTCACTGACACACGTTCATTCATTCATCCATCATCCAACCCTTGGCCCGTTCAATAAATTCACATTCAGTGCCTTTAAAAAAAAACTCTATTGAATTACAGTTTATATGCTATAAAATGTATCAATAAAATGTAAATTAAAATACACATTTCTATGAGTTTTTTAAAATGTTATTCAACACATGACCACTGCCATCATCCTCAAATGTTCTCTTTTGCCCTATCCAAGTAAATCTCCCCTCCCCCCTTACTGGGTGTGTCTTAACTCTTAGCACACTATTTTGAGACATGTCCTACCCATTATCTATCTTTGCATCATCACCTTCATGCTATAGTGCCCAGAGTACAGTAGCACTAAATTCTGTAGAGGCAATGGCTTGAGGAATGAATCAATAGATAAATACATAAGTCATAGAAATTGGCATATAGAGAGCGTTACTCTGTTGTGGACACTGGGCTAGACCTTTTATATGTATTAGCTCATTTAATCCTCAGTAGATTCACTCCATTTTACAGATGAGGGAAATGAGGCTCAGAACTTCTGCCCACAGCCTGGGTTCAAAGGCAGACCATCTGACTCCAGAATTCCCACTCTTACTGCTGTCTTTAATACATTCGGGATGGGCGAGTAGAAGAACTCTTGCATGCACTGAACTGGGCTTCTCCCTTGCTCTATATTGGTCCCAGTTTCTCTCTCTCTCAGCCCAGGTTGGACGGATCTGGGTGGGAAGCAAAAATCAATGTGTGGAGGCTGCCCTCTGGTGGCAGATATGAGTATAGCGGTATCTGTGCCCTCTGGCGCCCCCAGGTGAGATGCTGATGAGAAGAATGAGCAAGCCGACAGCCCACAGCGGGGGCAGCCTCGGCCCCGGGCACCTGGAGACCCCCTGCTCTGGCCACTGCCTGGTGCCCCCCGAGGTGCCAGCTGAGGCTGCCCCCAAAGAACGCCAGCTGCCGGAGCCTGCCGCCTCCCACCCCCTCCACCAGCCTCACACACACTCCAATCCCGGTCCAGTCGGCTGCTTCCATTCCCTGAAGAAGAGGCCCTAAAGTTAAAACAGCTGTTAATTTATAAACCAATTTTTCCGTG